AATACATAATACATTTATTAAACTAATATTTGTTGAATCCATAACGGTTATTTTATTTTAAAAAGTTAAAAGTTATTTTTGTAACTGTTGAGTGTCATGCTATGCGTGATCAGTTTTCGGGTATAACATTAACGATTATCAAAACGTTATAAGGTGCTTATATGATAAGTTACGGACCCCTGCCGCGCTCGTCCGCACTCAGCGGGTTGGTGCGCATAAGGGTGGCCACCCATCACACCCTCCGTGACTGACGCGACGGTCGCGACGGGTGTGATGACCAATGGTCATTGACCATTGTGCGGACATCTCAAACGCACCACCTTTGGCTAGCGCGCATTCCTCCGCGTCTTGTGGCGCTCACTATTGCAGTGGTCACGTGATCTACGGCCAGCCAGCAGGTGCCCTGGGGCGGCCGGAGAGCCCTTCGATACCGGCACCAGACCGTGACGGCGAGCAGAACTCACTTTTTGTATGTCCTCTTGCTGTTGCCGCACGGGGTTCCAAAGGAGCACAGAGAGCGATTTGGACACGTCGATACAATGAGAATCTGTGGCCAAAAGTAAGTCGACATTTTTCTGAAAGGACGCCAGTGAGAGGAATTGTGCGGCTATCAGTGCAGGCCTCGCGTCACGTGGCGGGGAAGTCCCGAAGGCAGGATTCGTGAAAAGCAGAGGGAACGCGGTAAGGAGAAGGGAGGGGGGGGGGTCGAACCTGGGAATACTAAGACAGGCCACGGATATTGTCGCCAAGGGCATGGCTCGGGTTCGGCCGAGTCTATGTCGATTGCGTTTCGATTGCTGATAAGTCGGTGGGACGAGCGAGGAGAGCCTACGCTGTCGACAGGGCGCCCCACCGTCCTGTCGTTGAGGGACGCGTGCTCGAGCCTGCGCTCTGGCGTTTTGTGCCCAAGTAGAGTCGACATAGAGACGGGATCAGGTGCTCGCATGAGGGGGAGGCTAATAGATAAAACTATTCTAATAACAAAAGACAAACAAAAAAATACACGCGCCGCGGCAGGCGCCCCCTCCTGCACTTTTTACTCTTTTACATCGCAACTGCACGAATTCGCTTTTGAATATATAATAGCTTTGTCGTGTACCCCGCCAGCTTCGGCACTAGTTGTAATAATTGGGAGCCATGGCAGCGCACATCCGAGCATATCATCTTATCAGGCAGAGCCAGGCAGGCAGGGCCCGGGCCCAGCGGCGGGTGACGCGGAGCCGAGCAGAGCGAGCGCGTCCCACACGCTGTTTGTTTAGATGTGTGCAATCGCAACTACAAGGCGAGAGACACCAGCGTGCCAACGCTCCATGTGGCAAAAAAGAGCAACAACCGCCGTGTAACGTGTATTTGTTGGTTTCCTTTCAAAAAGGGGGGGGGGGGGGCTTTTCATGCTGCAGCTGCTTAGCGGTTCAGTTACACTTTACAAGTACCTTTAGTGTAGAGCAACAGTACTCACCTCCAGGGGAATTCCAAGTCGTTCATAAAACTGTAATATCTTCAAAGCACTTGCAAACTTAGACAATTCAAAGTCCGTAGCACAGACAATAATGGTGTACGAAGTTGCAGGAATCCGTTCAACAATTTTAAAATATAATCTAACACAACAGAATTTCTAAAATTACTGACTGATGAAAACTCAAACCCCTACTCAGAATGTTGGCCTTGACAGTGAGCCCATGGCTCTAGCCCACTGGGTGCCATCACTGCTCCTAACTCATTACCTGGGGACTCATCAATTATTCATGGAGCCACGCTGTGGCTTACAGCAACAACTAGGTAGACGTTAAAACGATATTTAGCCATGAAAAAAATTTATGTACGCAAGAAGAAAGGCTTATCTGTTCAAAAGCTCAGAAATATAACAGAAATTTAAGATTGTTTTTCGGAAATACATGTTCAGAAAACATAATGATCAAAACCACCAAACAAAAGACAGACTGTGACCTAAAATTTAGAAAAATTGTTGATAATTGAAAATTAATAATACAACTTTCATTATTACATACCAACTCTATTTGTTCAATAGAGCATTTGTTGTTCTAAAATTTGAGGATCATAACTTCAATGTATAGTTATTATAGTTTTTATAGTTTAAGTTACAAAAAGAAAATGTTAGAGGTTAAATACGAATTACCCAATAATTATCACAATCTGTACCGATCGGAAGATGAATGTTACGAAATCGGGCAACTTGTTGCCCCCTGCACAGATGTTTGGAAGCCATGAAAACAATCCCCTTAACCTTGCATTATGCCCTATTTTGAACGAATAATAATTGTCACACGAATAAAAAACTGAACAATTTATTGGAAAAAATATCTAGAACGGCCGCAAAGAACAACATATGCAGAAATATGTGATATAACGATTAAGAAAACTTACACCGGTGCCAGAGTTCGGTGACTCGGCACAGATTACAGCCAAATTAGCAATGCACAAAGAGTGTCACACAGTGGCAGTTATTTTCATAGCACGCGTACACAAGTAAGAGAATATTTTATTATTCTGAATGCAGCTACTTACTCTAGTAAGAACTAAATTTGTAATTTTGCGTCGGTCCGCACGTACAACGTTCAACACGAGAGCCATGATGGACTTCTACGGCGAGTGCCTCTTCGTCGATCGGGGCAAGGGGGCGATATGCTAAGTGGGACGTGACGTCATTCGTGGCGCATGCGCAATGGACGTCGCTCGCGGGCGCGAATTTCAAACATCAGCGGAACACGGTGAGGGCTCAGCCTTGGCTCAGCAAGGCTCAGCTCCAACGTCACATAGGTCAAAAGTATTCGTATTTAGGCGTTTCAAAATATGGGGATGTCAAAACAAATTTTTCTGTTTTTTGTTTCATTATTTCAAATGAATCTGAAAGTTGTAGAACCCCTGAACTTCTTAATTTCCGAATATATGTGGGTTGTGCTTTTTAGTGATCTCTGGAACCCACTTCATCAAGTCATCCTGACTGTCCACGCGAAATCGATATTGCTTAACTTTTCGCCTCCCCACTGTACAGCAGAAGGGTCTAATTTGGAGTTTGGGCCACCGGGGGTTAACCCAGCTAGAAGTGCCATGTCGAAGGTGACCATATTTAGACGTCTAAGGGTACGATTTAGCAGTGACATGGCAATTCTGGCTGGGACTGTGGATCACTTTCTTGTCGGCACTGATGACTGCAGGTACACTTTGTTGGTGACTGCGATAACTAGACATTTTCAGCCATTGATTCGGCTCTTTGTTGGAACAGTGCGCCTCAAACAGCAGCGGTAATTAACCCTGGCGGTCCAAATTAGCCCGATGTACGATACTCGAATGCTCTCTCGAGAACTTTTTTACTTTACGTTATTTTGATGAATCGTTTTATATCCCATGACACTACGACCTTCGACCTGTGGTCCTTTCGATGGTTTTGTTGTTTTTGTTTTTATCAACCGACAAGTTGGCAAGACGCTAGTGGAAATAGGGAACATAATAATAATGCTTTCTTTTCCAATGTACTTGACAGGGTTATTTATTACATTGATGCATTACTTAAACAGCACACATTACAATAGCATTGCTGTTTGCGTTTTTTACTGGCGGCTCTTGCCGTTGGCACCGCACTGGGCATCCTTGATGGCATAAGAGTCCACGAGGGCCTGAATGCTCTTCTCAGCCTTATTCTTGGGGTTGAGCATCTCGCCGGAGAAGGAGCCGTCGAACTTGCCACACACACCGCAGAGGCGGCCGTGGAGGGAAGAACCAGCCTGAAAAACACGCTGTGGTAAGTCTCTCGGGCAACACGTTGTTCGGAGGGTGGTACTGGGCACCTAGCTCACCTGGATGACGACGCTGCTGTTTCCGTACACAACGCTCATGTCGTGATCGGGGAGCTTGATGATCAGGGCGCCGTCCTCAGAGCGGACGATGGTCATGACCTGGACATCGGCAGCATCACGGACCTGGACAGCGGAACCGGTCTGGTTGGAGTGGTCGGCCACAGCGACACCGTTCAGGGTGGCGGCGCCGTCGGGGCTGAGGCGGGCGATCTGGTAGTTGTCAATGTTGATCTCAACGTGGATGTCGTCGGGCTGGGCCTTGTCGGAACGGGCCAGGACGGCGACGCGAGACTTGCCGGAGCAGTCCTTAGCGAGCACGTGCCAGCAGGCGCCCATCTTAATGCTGCCCTGAACACCGTCCAGGGTGACCAGCTGGGAGGAGGTGGCGCCACAGAAGGCTGCAACAAGATAGGAGGAGTTGGTCGGCTAGAATGGCGACATGAGGTTGCGCGGGGCGGCGGGAAGGCTCAGCCGGCCGGTACCTCGGGTCTCCTGGTTGGCGGCGGCGAGTAGGGTGCTGGCCACGGGGGCGCTGGCGCTAGCGACCTTGGTGAGAGTGCGGGGGGTCTGCAGCCAGCCGTCCAGCTTGCCACCAGCCTGCACGGTGATGCCGGCGCCGAGCTAGCATAACAGCAAGGCGTTATTAGATGCAAATTTGAACAACTATACAGGTTTTGGATAAATTTGTTGGTGTAAGCCCATTTTAATGGTAATTTTCCTAACCTCGTTGCCATTGCCGGGAGCAATGGTGTCGACGGCGATGTTACCCTGGTTCCACAGGTAGGCCTTGGCGGCCTCGAGGGCGAGATGCACGCTGCTGCCCCAGGCCTCCTCGGCGGGGTTGTTGTAGTTGATGGTGAGGTTGAACTGGTCGGGGATGTTAGCGGATCCCAGGATGGATCTGCAGGCGGGGCTGACGCTGGCGTTCTGCATGCTGCCGGACTGCATGGCGTGGTCGGGCTTCACGCAGAACTGCTCCTTGGCAGCGCGCCACAGGCGCTGAGTCTTGGCGGCGGAGTGGTCGGTCTCCATCTGCAACGGCAAGGCTCGTTAGGGCGCACCCCGAGTCTGGTTTTGAGCCACGATGTGCTGCGTCCCGATCGGGCCAGGCGCTGCGGCTGCAACCTGCATTCTGCGGTTCCTCATGCACATGGAGAAGGCCGACACATACACTGAAGGCCAGCACCTTAGGCTGCTGGACATGAACAATGGGCAAGATGGGCCTGGCGCCCGCCCCCGGGCCTGGGGAGATGACGTACTGCCGGCTAGGCACCATGGGGGGACTCCCCGGGGCCGCCGGCCGCCTGCGACCCTAAAGACAGGCCGGGCCGCGGTCAGGACGAGTCCGAGATCCGGGAGAACGGAGGGGAGAGCATCGTTTGGAAGGTTCACGTAGCGCCTGACCGACCGTCAGCTTCTTACCGCGGCAGTGACGATCTTCCTCACGGCCTTGGCGTCGACCTGCTGGTACTCGGCCTTGATCATGAGGGCGGGCTGCTGGTGGAGGGCGGCGTCAATGCTGGAGCGGGCGGCGACGTCCCTGAGGACGGCGGCGGTGGCGGCCACCTGGGCGTTGTCGGCGTCGCTGCGGGCGAAGAGACCGGCGCGCATCAGGCGTCCTCCCAGGTTGGCGCCGACGGTCCAGAAACCAGAGTAGTGGGCTGGGGCCTGGCTGCCGCCGGAGATGTCCTCGGAGGTGACGTTGACGCCGACGACGTAACCACGACCGGCAGACATACCGGCGAGCACCTGGAGGTGAAAGATAGGTGTCGTGCGCGGTCCCTTACAAGCAATAAGTAGACAACAAGTAGTACCTACCTGGGAGAGGACGTAGAGCTCGCTGCTGCCGTTGATGCGGTTGGTGTAGGGGTTGAGGGTGGTGGCGTTGAACACGCTGCGGGTGAAGTCCATGTCGCCGTTGTCCACGAACATGGAGCCGTTGCCGTGGAAGCGGCGGCTGTGGTCGGCCCAGCGGGGGGAGCGCACCACGGCTGCAACCAGGACTCGCGTTAGACGAACTCGATCCGGTACTCGACTGCTGGACTGGGCGCGGGCACTAGCTCACCGGGGGTGACGGTGGTGGTGGCGGCCTCGGTGGTGGTGGGCATCTCGGTGGTGCTGCTTCTGACGGGGGTCTCGGTGGTAGTGCTAGTGGGGCCGGCGGGGCTGGCGTGCTCGTCGTTGTCCTGGCGCATGTCGTCAGGGTAGACGACCTGGAAGTCACCGCTCTGCAGCATGCCCTTCACTGCAATGACGAGGAAGGAGTGAGACGAGGACGCGGCAGTCGGGAGCGGGGAGACGTTGGGGGCGGGGGGTGGCGACGCTTACCGAGGGCGACACTGACGTTAAAGCTGTGGGCGCGGGAGGCGACCACCTCGAGGCGGGAGGCGGACAGAGGGCGGCCCAGGGCGGGGAAGCCCAGGACGGTGCGGGAGTCACGGATCCAGGCGGGCAGGGCGTTGCGCTCGACGGGAGCGCGCAGGTTGAGGGAGACGTTGTCCCAGAGGGACATGAGCACGGAGTCACCCTGGCCGGCACCCATGCTGGCGTTGTGGGCGGTGGCGCTCTCGCTGGCCAGTTCGCCGCGGCTCACCTCCACGGAGGCGGTCAGGGGCTGCAGGGCGACGCGGGCCACCACGGAGGCCTGCTGGGGCTGGGAGGGCTGCACGCGCACAGAGAAGCGACCAGAGGGGCCGCTCATCTCGGCGTGGACGGCGGTGGCGGGGATCTGGACCATGGCGTGTCCGTTAACGGCGGCCACGTACTCGCGGCTGGCCCAGGAGGGCTGCACGGAGAGCTGGGCACTCAGGCCGGCGGAGTACCTGTCGACAGAGGGGCGCGTGAGATACACCCGCCATGCTGGTGCGCGGCGTAGCGCCTGCGAGGTAGGCACGCCCGTTAAGCACCCGCGTCGCGCGGGACAGCCTACCGCGCAGGGGCCCAGCCCGGGCGGCGGCTCACGAGAGGCACTCACAGGCAGGTGACGTTGGCCTGGGCAGAGAAGTTGCGGTGGACCTGGGCGCTGCCCTGGGCGCGCAGCAGCCAGGGGGCCTGGATGCGCAGGTTGACGGGGAAGCCCATCTCGGTGACGGTGGCCATGGAGACCTCCTCGCCGCCCATCTGCTGGGCGTGGAAGCCAGTCTCAGAGCGGAGCTTGTCCACGAGCTGAGCGGCGGCTGCAACAGGAACGTCAACGTTGCAACGTCAAAACATTTTCAGTAGCAAATTTAAAGATTACTTTCCAAATTTCACTAAAACGTAATATGTTTCTCTCCAATTTTTGAAAAGAAATGTGACTATTTTTTTTTTTTTG